GTTGACTCAGAAGACGGTGAAATTTCAATGGTCTGAAGCTTGTGAGAAAAGCTTTCAGGAATTGAAAAAGAGATTGATTACAGCTCCAGTTTTAATGCTACCAGAAGGTACTCAAGGTTTTGTGGTGTATTGTGATGCGTCTAGAGTTTCTTTGGGTTGTGTCTTAATGCAGAATGACAAAGTTATAGCTTATGCCTCCAGACAGTTGAAGGTTCATGAGAAGAACTACCCAACCCATGACTTAGAGCTAGCTGATGTGGTATTTGCTTTGAAGATATGGCGTCATTACTTGTATGGTGTGCATGTCGACATATTCACTGATCACAAGAGCCTTCAATATGTGCTTACTCAGAAAGAGCTTAATCTCAGACAGAGGAGGTGGTTAGAGTTACTCAAGGATTATGACCTGAGTATTCTTTACCACCCAGGTAAGGCTAATGTTGTTGCCGATTCTTTGAGCAGGTTGTCTATGGGTAGCACCGCCCATATTGGAGAAGGAAGGAGAAGGTTAGCAAAAGATGTGCACAGACTGGCATGCCTGGGAGTCAGCTTCACAGATTCCGCAGAAGGAGTTATAGCGGTAACGAGCAGGGCCGAGTCATCATTAATGTCGGAAGTGAAAGAAAAGCATGATCAAGATCCCATTTTGCTCGAGTTGAAGGCAAATGTTCAGAAACAAAGAGTATTAGCTTTTGAACAAGGGGGAGATGGTGTATTAAGATATCAAGGTAGAATGTGTGTACCTATGGTAGATGGACTCCAAGAAAAGATTATGGAGGAAGCTCATAGCTCCCGATATTCCGTTCATCCAGGTTCCACCAAGATGTATCGTGATTTGCGTGAAGTTTATTGGTGGAATGGCATGAAGAGGGGCATTGCTGAGTTTGTTGCTAAGTGTCCAAATTGCCAACAAGTGAAAGTTGAACACCAAAGGCCCGGTGGTTTGGCTCAGAGGATAGAACTTCCAGAGTGGAAGTGGGAGATGATCAATATGGATTTCATCACAGGGTTGCCGAGGTCTCGCAGACAGCATGATTCTATTTGGGTAATTGTCGACCGAATGACAAAGTCAGCTCATTTTCTACCGGTAAAGACTACCAATACAGCAGAAGATTATGCCAAGTTGTATGTTCAAGAGATAGTGAGACTTCATGGAGTCCCAATCTCCATTATTTCAGATAGAGGTGCACAGTTTACTGCACAGTTCTGGAAATCTTTTCAGAAGGGCTTGGGTTCAAAGGTGAACTTAAGTACTGCCTTTCATCCTCAGACTGATGGGCAAGCAGAGCGCACTATTCAGACCGTAGAGGATATGTTGAGGGCTTGTGTGATCGATTTCAAAGGTAGTTGGGATGATCACCTACCTCTAATTGAATTTGCCTACAACAACAGTTATCACTCTAGCATCCAGATGGCTCCATATGAAGCCCTTTATGGGAGAAGATGTAGATCTCCTATTGGATGGTTTGAGGTTGGTGAAGCACAGTTGATAGGACCAGATTTAGTTCACCAAGCTATGGAGAAGGTGAAAGTGATTCAAGAGAGGTTGAAGACGGCACAGAGTCGTCAGAAATCCTACACTGATGTTAGGAGAAGGGCATTAGAGTTTGAAGTAGACGATTGGGTATATTTGAAGGTTTCACCCATGAAAGGCGTTATGAGGTTCGGTAAGAAGGGGAAACTCAGTCCCCGGTATATTGGAACTTACCGCATAGCCAAGAGGATTGACAATGTTGCTTATGAGTTGGAGTTATCACAAGAGCTAGCAACGGTTCATCCGGTATTTCACATCTCTATGTTGAAAAAGTGCATAGGTGATCCTTCATTGATCCTACCGACTGAAAGTGTTAAGATCAAGGATAACTTATCTTATGAGGAAGTGCCGGTTCAGATTTTAGATCGCCAAGTTCGTAGGTTGAGAACGAAAGATGTGGCGTCAGTCAAGGTCCTTTGGAGGAACCAATTTGTTGAGGAAGCCACTTGGGAAGCCGAAGAGGACATGAAGAAGAGATATCCGCATCTTTTTGAATCCGGAGGGAATGCGGATTAAGGTATTAATTTCCTTCTTAGTGCTCTTTAAAATATAATGGGCATGTTGTCGTTGTTGTTGTAGTTGTTGTTGTTGTTTGCATAATTGCTTGTTGGGTGTTTGAGTTAGATGTTACACCCTTAGTTTTGTAAGAGCAACCTCATTCGAGGACGAATGTTCCCAAGGGGGAGATATTGTAACATCCGACAATTTGAAGTGGCTTTGATGAAGCTTGAAATTTGGAAATAGTCATTTTTTTTGGAAAAATTTAAAATCTGGAAAATTTGGCTAAGTGTGGAAAAGAATGAGTTTTTGGCCAACTTCGAGTAGTCGTAACTCCTAGCTCAGGATGAGTTAGGAGTAGTTCCAATTATGGTTGCGAAGCCCTTGGAACGCACTTTTCAACGCCACCGAGTTTGCTCAATTCCGAGTTCATATGAGGGAGTTATGACCTTTGAAAGTTGGGCAGTTGACAAGGAAATCCGTCCGGGAATCTTTAAGGGCATTTTAGTCTTTTCCCTAGCCAATTCTTTTGAGCTCATATTGTTGTATTAGAATGATCTTTGGATCATTTTTGTCCCTTTTTGAAAGAGAAAGAGTTAGGGTTCTTGAGATTTAAGAAGAGGAGAAGGAGAAGGAGAAGAAGAGAAGGAAGAGGAGCTTAGTCAAGATCGTTGTGGATTTTCGTCGGGGGTGATCCCTATTAAAGGTATGTGAGTTTTTCGTGTGGGTTGATCCTTTCCCCCACACACACCTAGTTTATTATATGATTGAGAAAAGATTGGAATAGTTGTTGAAGTTGTTAAAGTTGTTGAAGTTGTTAAAGTTGGTGAAGTTGGTGAAGTTGTTAGTTGTTGTTGATGTTGTGGATTGTGTAGTTGAAACCTATTGTATGTTGAGGGAATTATGATTCTAAGAGTTATGACCATTGGAGGTTGATTCACATCTTTTCGCAGCAAATATCTGGGCTGTCGATCCCCATCTACGGGCGTGACCTACGGACCGTAGATCAATCGACGGTCCGTACTGGTCAACCGTCGATCAAGACAGAAGTTGGTTTTTGGGGCGTCGATCTACGGGTCCGACCCAAGGTCCGTAGCTCGATCCACGGACCGTAAGTCAGGACCGTAGGTCAACACTTAGTCTTTTTCTTAAATAAATTCTGGGGAAAATCTCTGACGCGATCTACGGACCTACAGTACGGACCGTAGGTTCATCTACGGTCCGTCGATGGCTTCCGTAGATGCCGCCTGTGTCACCAGAAATCTAAAGTCTCAGCCAAGTTCCCCATTCCTTTTCCCACTTTCTCAAGCAAGTTCCAAAGTATTATTACCTATGTTTTATGGTTGTTTCCGACACTCCATAGTGCGTCTAAGAGTTCAAGAATCCCTCCATAACATGTGATCGAACACCTTGAATTCATAATTCCGATTCAAGGAAAGATGGTTCCAAGTCAAGTGAAGTTAGCAGTCAAGTTAAGTCAAGAGTTTAAAGTTGAGTTCAGTCTCAAAGTTATTAGGGAACTATGTATTCCCAAAGAAGTTTTAAAGAAATGTTTTTACAATTGAACAAGGTTGGAAACTGAGATTTCCAAAGGGGCCTTCGGGCTAGTTTTTGAGTAATTATCTCATATCAGCAGGAATAAATATGTTTTAAAAACATAAGAGCCAGTACATTTTTGGGAGTAGTATCGAGCACCGAATTGGGGGAGCGTTCCAAAGAACCCACAGCCCCCATAGAACCATGTTAGCCACCATGGGTAGAAAAGGATCATGCTTTCTAGATGAATCCTTTTCAGATTAGACTAGTGGATCCATTAGGCAGTTCAGGTCTTATACCTTTGGCCGGGTATAAGATGCTCTGGCAGCGTGAGGTCGATCGCTGTATCATCACTATAGCTCTTATGTGATGGTTGTCGGTTAGAGAAGCTCCCACAGCAGTTATTGTATTTTCATACTCAGAGATTATTGTATTTTTATATACATCAGTTCATTGTATTTCTATATACATTTCAGGCTTATTGTATCTTGTATACACACAGAGTTTATAGCATGTTTTAAACAGTCCTTCTTTATATCGCACTTGTTTTAAATTGCCTTATATTGAAAGAAGTCAGTCAGGTTGAGTTGAGTTGAGTCAGGTAAGCTATTCAGTTTCTTCCAGATTTCTCCTTCTAGCCGTTGTTGCTTAGTTTTCCAGCTTGCATACTCGTACATTCCATGTACTGATGCCAGTTGGCCTGCATCGTTTCATGATGCAGATTCAGGTATCCCAGATCAGCAGCCTGCACGTCGTTGATCCAGCTGAGCACTCCAGAGTCAGTGGTGAGCCTCCTTGCATTCCGGAGGGCTCAATTATTGAGTGTTCTTAGTTTTGATTTTATTAGGATGTTGCGGGGTCTGTCCCAACATCCATCTCAGTATTTTTAGAGGCTTCATAGACAGACAGTCAGTCAGCTAGTTTTGAGTCTCTTAACTATGTATTTATGTAAATATCCTATTTTGAGATTCGGGTTGCCTTAGGGCCATATTTTATAAGTTAAGTTGTTTTGAAATATTGCATTGCTTTGAGTTATTCTATTGAGTTAGGTTTCCGCTGAGTTAAGAAAGCCAGGCCAAGGGTTCGCTTGGGGCCAGCAATGGTTTCCGAGTGCCGGTCCCGCCCAGGGTGTAGGCTCGGGGCGTGACACATATCTTTTTAACATGCCATTTCATGTTCTTCGATTTTTTTTTCTTTTTTGTGAAAGGTGGCGGTGAAATTCAAACTCACGTTGTATCATGTTGAATTATGTGAACTACTTCATTTAAGAACTCAAGCAGTTGCAGTGGACAGACTTTTAATTTATCTATTAAATTGTGTCGTTAACAGTAAAATACATGCATGGAGTTATTCCCTTTTTCTACAAGCAATCTTGAATTCGTTTCACTAAATTTGAGAAGTAAAACAACTCAGTGGTGCTTATACTTTGTAGATTGTATTTTCAAGGCCAGGCAATGTTGCAGCTTTTGGTGATCCTTACAATGGTGTGCCTTCAGCTTATTAGAGTCCCTTTGTTTGGAATATTTTATTTGAACTGTCATCAGTTCCTCAAAACAGCATGAAAGACATAATCAAGACATATGTGTCATTGGTTCATTCTTAATTCTGTGATTCTCTTGTACTATGTTGTGTTTAACTTTTTCCAATTACCTAATAAGTGTTATTCAGGGAAATTACTAATACTGAAATAGGAAATATCCCTGGTTAGGATCAAGCGTTTACCATCATGCCAAAAGTTATAGCTAATAGAGAGGGTACAACTTTATTTCGCCTTTCTAAATTCGCCTCGCCTCGCCTCATCACCTTTGGCGAGAGGCGAGCACCTTTCATAACACTGCCTGCCTCATGCATCATATGTTGCTCTTGGGAATCAAACCCATGACCTTGAATTTGATATTGGATGTTAGGATCAAGCGTTTACCTTTATCCAAAAACTATAGCTGATAGAAAGGGTGCAACTTTATTTCTTAACTAAGCCCACCAAGCAAGTGTCATGTTCAATCATGTTTCCGATCTGGGCCACCTCAGCCTCCTCGTGGGCCTTTCATAGGTAAGATGTTGACATTACTCGACATTTCCTATTAAACTTCTAGATATTTGTGTGACTATAAAACATCTTAACATCTCATTAAAGGTAAAATAAACATATAAAAGTTAAATTAATACTAAATATATAAAATGTCATTCTTATTAAAAAAGAGTGTCACATAAAGTGGACGAAGGGAGTAGCATATGTTAAGTGAAGTGATAGCAAAACCAAGATAAAGGAGTTTGATAACCTAAAAGGAGATTATATTATGGAAAGTAAAAAGGGAGAAACAGTGTGACTCCTAAAGGAGAGTGTGTTGACTACAAACATATATAAGCTTTTATTGAGGCTTGAGATCAATGATGTTGCACACAGAGGCAGAGCTCAGATTTTAAGGTTATAAATATCACATTTTAGAAAGTTTAACTTATTGGGTTCTAAATAAATTATTTCTACAGTTTAAGTGGATTTTTAAACACAAACACATGACTTGTGCCGAAGTTTTGAGTTCTGCCGAACCTATAGATGGGCTTGTGGCTCCTACACCCGATGCCCTTGAAAATGGGTAGTTTAAAACTTTTATTCCTCTCGTCCCATGAGCAAACTTTCAAGATTAAAAGTCAAAAGTGTTTGCCCCCCCCTAGTTGCACATTAAATATGAACAAAGATATGAGTACAACATGTTAGGTGCAAGGTAATTAAAAAAAGAAGCTAACAGTGAAGTAACGATCCAAATAATTCAAATTTAACGTTAGTATTTTCTTTAAATTTAATTTTAAGTTTTAGAAATGAAATTTTCAAACGTGAAGTACTCGATATTATGTACTTGTTTTTATTTTTATAATCTTCTTCTAATCAACCAGAAGACTTTCATTTGGCTCGTTACTTTCTCAATATAGTACATGCATATTTTATATTTTGAACTTTTTCATTAATATTCTTATAAAGTCAGACTTAAAATAATTAGGCATAATACATATATTGGACCTTAAACTTGGCTTCAAATTTTAACTTTGACCTCCAACTTTCATAGTGCACAAACAAGCACTTTAACTATCCAACCTTTTAATAAATAAACACGCGATTTTTGGAGCCAAAGAGCGTGAAATGCAAACGCTTCCACGTGTATTAGTGAGCCACTCAATGGCTGCCAACTAATTAAATACTTTACACGTCCATTTTAGAACTAAAAATAAAATAAAATTAATTAAGGGTAAAGTTGTCATTTCAGCATTTTTTTACTGTTGTGGGCCTCGAAAATTACTCCTAACTCGCGCAAAATACGTGCACATCACGCGTTTTGCCAAGTAAGACACGCGTGTTTATTTATTAAAAGGTTGGATAGTTAAAGTGTCTGTTTGTGCACTATGAAAGTTGGAGGTCAAAGTTAAAATTTGAAGCCAAGTTTAAGGTCCAATATATGTATTATGCCAAATAATTATTATTACTTTTAAAATACAAAGGGAAGAGTAAAATTGCCTACACACGCAATAGATCTTTCTTAGGAGTTCTCATCCAAGTAATTTAGCACATGCCAATTAGGGGATGGACCTATAAACACTGTAATTAGTATGATTAACCCCCCCCCCCCCCCATAATTACACCTCATCAATGTGGACCTTATTTTTTGGTCAAAATTGTTAATTTCTAGTTGTAAATATCACATATGGTTAAATAATGCAGATAATACCATATAGCTATTGTACCACATTCCCAAGTAAATAATGAGACATAATACATAACTATACCCTTTAATGTGGCCTCATTTTACATTTATGTCTTCCAACTTTGGGTGTGCACATGTTGACACTTAAACTTGTATAAAGTTAAAAAATTAGACAAACACATCCTACGTGGAAATTTGTGTTCTACGTGGTGTCCTATGTGTATTATGCCACATAGGACTAATTTGTCTACTTGTTCAACTTTATACAAGTTTAAGTGTCTACTGTGCGCACCCAAAATTAGAGGATATAAATGTGGAATGAGGTTAAGTTAAAGGGCACATAATATACCAAATAATTATTCTCCTCTTCATTGTCTGTGTTGATTCCTAATTATTTATGTTATGTAATAAATAAAGAGCTATTTTGAGTTCTTTGTGACAATTATCCTTATTTGTTTTGTATATATTTCAATAAGGGAAAAGGCTGAACTTTGAGAAAAGGCTTATCTATATTATTTGTTAAAAGTTTGGCTCATCTATGCCATTTTCGTTTGAGAAAAAGCTCATTTATGCCATCATTTGTTAATTGAAATGGCATAGATGAGCCAAACTTTTAACGTATGACATATATGAGGCTTTTCTCAAAGTTTGATGGCATAGTTGGGTTTTTTTTTAATTAATTAAAGACGTGTCTGAATAATAATTGACCACGTATAAAAAATGATTTTGCAATACCGAAATTGTTTTCAGTTAACAAATAATGACATGGATGAGTCTTTTCTCAAACGGAAATGATATAGATGAACCAAACTTTTAACGAATGACATAGATGAGTCTTTTCTCAAAGTTTGGTGACATATTTGAGCCTTTTTCCCTTTCAATAATGATACAAAGATAATAATGCTCAAGGTAATCTAACCAATCACAGAAAATCTTTTCTTTTCAAGAAAAAGACTTACCTATATTTTTGTGACATCCAGATCTGGAGACCTTCAAAAATTTTAAGTAATTTTGTTCAATATAAAGCATCATATATAAGGATGTAATTATTTATATTAAGCTAGTGTCCTGAGTTATATTTTAACATTTGGCAAATGACACATAATTAGCAAAAATTTATGTGTTAAAATGAGAGAATTGTCTCAATGTTTTATACATTACAATATAACTCGTGAGCTCCAAAAACAAAAGAGAAAAAAGGAAGAAAAGAAATCACCCAGATATTTTCTACGCGCGAAGTTGATCTTTCTTGGGAGTCATCATGCAAGTAATTTAGATGGAAATTAGGGGATGGACCCAAAAATTAAATATACACTCTGTGATTTCCACAATAATAATGTTAAAGGAAACTCTACAACTAGTACTCTATCACTTCATTTCCTTTCTTTAATATCCATACAAATTTAGTGTTAATTTATGAACTAATAACAATTAGTTGAGTAATAGTATGTTTGTCACCATTATAAATTTAATCCTCAACTCCAATGTTTTCATTCAACTTTAAAACTACTCGAGTAATATCCAAAAAGGTCTTGTGAATGTATAACTAACCACGTCCACGTGATACAATACTTTTAACGTTTGTTCTTTACCCTTTTTAATCTTATAAATCGTCATTGCAGTTTGTAATTTCGAAGCCCAAGTGACAAAAAATGAAAGTAGCAGTGGTGGGAGCAGGGATAAGTGGACTGGTTTCTGCATATGAATTGGCAAAATCTGGTGTCAGTTGTGGTTTATGAGAAGGAACATTATCTCGGTGGCCATGCTAAGACCGTTACTGTCGATGGTGTCGATCTTGACCTTGGTTTTATGGTCTTCAATCGGGTAATTACGGTTAGAGGGTGTTTCAATAACTTTATACGACAACCAAGATAGTTTAAATAGAAATGTTTTTGACTTATTTACGTATTTGATAACATCTAAAGTGCTCATAAATTAAACACATGCATATATAATCAAATCTCTCTCTAACATCGTCCCATATTTCTTGGCTACTATATCAAAATGTTGTTATAGACAACATATAATATGATGTAATTACATTTTGTTGTGATAGCTCTATTGGTACATTTTAATATTATTTAATGGTCAAAATCATATCTAAACTATCATCTTTTTGCCAGTTTCATACCTTAGCTATTTATTGTTCCATTCATTTTCTGGCATTAAGGAAAAATGGAATCCATTATTAGAAAGTTGCCTCTGTCAGGAGTTAAATTGGATAAAATAAGCTTAAGAACCAGTCTCCAGTATGACAAATTGTCACTGGAGATGTTGAAAGTCTTCGGAAGATAAACTTGACTTAGGCAAATCATGTTTTTGGTGGTTAGTTTAATGGTCACAGAGAGTGACAGTTTGAACTCGAAAGGGCCATTATCTTTTGTGTGAGAGATCAATGAAACAATGCTATAAAATTGGGGCAGAACCAAAATTTATGAGTTCACAGGCTGATGGAGTGCTGGTGGTTAAACTCCCATTCGCTATGAAACTTGCCTTAGGCAAATTTCACATCATCAGAATGTGATGGAAAATAAGGCAAACGCCTGGTTCATGAATTCAACTGCTGATATGCCTTGGCAGTTAGGCCTGGGGTTATAATTCTGGTGCATATTGATGTGTCAAAGAAAGTTAGTAAGGTATATATTCAATGTAAACTCAATTTTTATCCAATCATTTTTCGGTTTCTATGGGTAAAATCATTTGTTTGTTCAATCGAATCGTATCATTTCTGCGCTTTGGGATGAACAACATATGTGGAATGTTGATGCTGTAATCGTGCATTTGACAGGTAACTTATCCAAACATGATGGAATTTTTTGAGGGCCTTGGAGTTGACATGGAGATCGCTGATATGTCATTCTCAGTGAGCTTA